TACTTTGTATGCTTTTTTTCATTTCAAATAATTCTAGTAATTCATGATAACTTATAATTTAAAAACAAAAATGAGAACACACACCGTTTTCTGCACAATTTACTGCACAACATATTTTACTGTATTTGATCAAGTGCCTTTCTACAGAGTTACATCAACAAACTGTGATGCACACTCACTATTTGGACTCCAGGATTCCATTATTTAGGAAAATTATTAACCTTCCCTCCTCCCCTTTTTTCTCTCCACCAACCCGCCCCTGAAACAAGCATGTACTAAAAGGTAACTAATTAGGGGTGTGTTCTTGAAGATTAGGTGCCTCTGCCTGAGAAGCGAGGAACCAACAGTGCATATAAATAAGCTAGATCTGTAAAACAGATGTGCATGCAAACTGAAGTTCTGCAACAAGACTAAATCTGAAGTGAATGGACTATGAGAACTTTCCGCCAGAGTTTACAGCCGGTGAACACTACAAAGAAGAAGAAATGTACACAGAAAAGATTAATCTTTTCTTGTTGTACTGTATATCTTATCCCTTTTTTTTTTAAAAAACCTAATGCTGGATTGTCCATCCTACTCATCACTGCTTAGGACAATTTGAATTAGCATTTATTAAAACTGTTCTAGTGTTTATTAAAACTATTAAACAATGTATTGATAACTATTTTATATTATAACCATTTCAAGTAATTTGTGACTGAATATCATTGTTCTTATGTTCCTTGCCAAACAGTGCAGACATTCCTGTATCTCCACACTCCACAGATCTTGATTGCTGAAGTTTAGAATCAGTTCTGCTGATTCTCTTCCTCTATATCATCATATTAAACCATCCAGCATTCTTTCTGCGTCTGCCTTTGCCTTTTCTGTCATTGAACTTTCCAGTCATCACATAGTGTTTTTTGGGGAAAGGATATTTAGGTGATTCAGATTAATGTACTTTCACAAAAAAACTTCTGTTAATGTGAAGACTTTCAAAGCAATAGAAATTCTTGTTAAAAATAACAAATTATACATGTAACAATAGATAAAAAATTACCTTTATTGATGCCGTGTTTGTCAGTGGGTCCCAGTCAGATGAACAAATTCTGTGCTCACAAGTGTACAGGAAGGACACAACTGGTGAAACAGACACATTTTCAAATGCTGGTTCTAGAGACTGGTTATACTTTTCATGTCGTTTAATATCTTTTCATGACATATTTATAGCTTCTCTGCAGCTCAGTAATTTGTACCTCGCTCATACGTCCCACCATACCAGAATTGCTGCTATTTGTTTGTGTCTGTCTAACTTACCTGTACTGTATTTTTTCAAATTACTGTTGCCTTCTTGCTTTATTTGTTTTATTGTATATTCAGGTAATATGCTGATAAAGGCTGTCTAGCTGCAATATCCAATTGTTGTTTGTATCTCTGATAATAGTTTTCATTTGCTTTGATATCTTTTCATGAAATTATAAATTAGTTGCTAATTATTCTTTCAAGTTCACTAGATGGTTGTTCATTCAGATCTAGACTTTAGACTTATCCCAGTCTGCTAAATTCCTACTAGTTTACTTAATTTATTACCTTTTCAACTCACATTTTTTTCACTGACTGAAATAATTAAAATACTCTCATTTAAAGAACTAAAGGAAGCCACTCAAACTATTCATGCAAACTCAATGAAAAATGTAAAAATAACTAGCTGAAATTATTTGAAAACTTGCTCACTGGAAAAGCTAAAACAATTAACTGAGAGAACTAAAACAAACTTCTTGCAATAGGAATCTTAGAACCTGGGTGTTGTGTGAACATCTACTTTACAGATCTGACTTATCTGTATGCAGACTGTGGGTTCTTTGCCACTGAGGCAGGCACACTCTGACTTCAAAAGCCCCCCCCCCCCCCCCCCCCCCCCCCCCCCCCCCCCCCCCCCCCCCAGTTAGTCAACTTGTACCACATGCTTGTTGGGAAGACAGTGGGTCTGTTCTTGTTTTCCCCACAATGAGGCTCCGAAACCCACACGGGGGAGTTGACCAATTAATTTCCTGTTTTTTTTTTCATAATTACCTAAAACTCAAATGTCAACACTGCCCTTGTTTTACTACTTTGTAAAGCAGTGTATGACAGCATTAGGGTGAGGGTAGAGAAATGGTCTTGAGCCTATAAATATAGTGTTTTATGACTTGTTTAATCATCATTAACTTGATGAGTCAGGACCTAAGAAGCAAGGATTAACCTACACAGAATTCAACATAGGATATTGTAGAGTAGAACTACAATGTGCAGGGATTTAGTGACGTTTCCTACTGGCTGCCATGTAAACAATATTCTAAACTGGGCCACTAAATGATGATTGATCATTCCGTTGAATGATATGTATGCCTTGCCAAACTACAAAAGATATTTATATATATACACACACATACATACACACACACATACCCACATATATAAATTAACCAACCTGATGTCTGATCAACATGTGACCTGAGAGTGATGCAGCAATCCTGGCCAAGCTCACAGACGACTGGAAGGGTGGAGATCACAGTGATGTACTTCTCAGATTCATCTTCATTTATCACCAATGGGTTTGGTAAAACCTACAGTGGAGTAGATAACGTGGCTATGAAGTGTAAATAATGTTTAATCAATGTGCACCGTTTACTTTCCTGCCGTTCTCCACCACTAGTATCAACAGTTATAAGACAGAGAAGTTGGCGCTATATTGGACACATTCTGAGAAGTGACGATGGAGAACTATTAAACAGTCACTGAAATGGGAAACAGAGAGTGGGGAAGTGAGAACATACAAGAGAAACCCTAGGGTGAATGATGATAATGATGATGATGATGATAATGATGATGATGATGATGATGATGATGATGATGATGATGATGATAGACTGCAAGCCCCATGTGACATAACAGGACAATGAAGAAATGAACTATTTAATTTGCTTGTTTGAGAATTTAATTTTTTTTCAGAAATAAGACAATTTCTCAATAGATGACCAATTAGAAAACAGTCAAAACTGTGGGCGGGCTGTCGTTTAATTAAAGAGGCAACATTTATACAGGTTTAAACAAAAATGCAGTTTAAAATGTTAAAATAACAAATCCAATGTATGTATTGTGCCAAACTAAATGCAAATTGTGTTACTAGGTACATTTGACAATAGTTTATTAATCCTAGGGGAAAAAGTGAAAATGTAAATATTAATTAACTATTATTACTAAATTTAAAAGTGAAAAGAACCAAGACATAAAGATAACTTATTGCAAACATTACAAAGAGATAGTGTACAGTTTTTGAGAACAGACCCCGGCAAAAAGTACTTTAAAAACTGAATCACTTTATGAATAATTAAACAGAGAAAGATGGCAAAAGACAATTCTTAAGAGATTTTGTCATGGTAGGCAGAAGTATCAGCACATGAGCAGATACATATTGTTGGCAGTCACGAAATGTGTAGAAGTATGATTGCTCATGCCAGTTGATGAAGAACTGATACTGATGATGATGATGATGAATAACATACAAAACACTGAGTGACTCACTTGCATCCCTGCAAAGTATGTGTTGCTATTAATAAACCTTGATGTTGTGTTGGTTCCAGGAAAGACAAATCTTGTCTGACAGCCAACCTGCAATGGACAATAATGTTAGAGCACAACAATTATGAAATACAGTCTTAGTTACAATTCAATCTCCCGTAAAGCTAACTCGGGCAACAAATGCTTGCAGAAATCAGATGTCTCAGCCGAATGGCGCAAATATGGCAGCTATGTTGTAAACGGGCACAACACATTTACATCTTCAGATGAGTGCAAAAGAAAAGGAAAAACAACTCAAGCTTTCTTTCCCTCTTCCCTCTCTGTTGCATACACTCTGTCTTTTTCTTTTCTATCTGTCTCTCTCTTGTCCAATTACCAATTATGTTTATATTAACTTAAAAACTCACTGATTTGAAGCAAATAACGTATGTATCTTAAAGACGTGAATCTTGGATGGTAATCCAACAGATTTCCTGCCAGATACTCTCTCTGATCAGCATTCTCCACTTTCTTCTTTCAAACACAGTGTAGGCCATGCTATCTGACACTGGTAACCATGTGTGTCCACATTATTATATCTGGTTGTTGTACTTTCAATTCCCATCAGACAAAATTATCATCTTCAAAGCTGACCTAGCCTAAAACAAGTACAAGGAATGTTTCAGGAAGCAAATCTGGCCATCATGGTGTTGACCCCTTTACCTGTTAAGTGCCAGATTGTCTACTCAAATATTTCTGATGCATCGATGACATAAAAAGTGTCCTTTACTTTCTTTTCTTGAATGGAACAATTATGTAAGATATCAATGCACAAGTGGTCATGCCTAAAGAACAGCGAACAAATTAAAAACTGGACTTGAATCAATTTACTTAAATTTTATAAATAACCTTACGTGTACTTTAAACATCTGTATTTATACCTTTTCAAAATATTGTGATTTTGCTTGTCCTGAGATTCAAATATAATTTGTTTCTTTGACAGAATTATGATATATACTATTTCTTAACTGTAAGTTCAATGAGTACAACAATCATCATCAAGTGTGTTGCTGCTGGGATGAGTAATCATGCTGCTCTACAATCTGCAGTCTCCAATAACGCATATCAGTTTATGTGATGACACATCTCCATGCAATGACAAAAGGCTATCAAGGCTATCTCAAATGTGTCTTTATCTATCTCCCTTTCCTATGATATTTCCAGTGCTCACAACATGATCCAGTTTTTCTCTTCTCTTAACATGACCAAAAATGGAGGCCCATCTCCTACTGATGTTTGTTATAAGTTGTCTTTGGCCCTCACTTCTTTCAGAAAATCTGGGTCACTCTTTTTGGCTGTAAAATAAATTTTTAGCATTCTTCTTAAGACCGCATCTCTAAAGCCTGGAGAAATTGTTTGGCTAGTTTATTAATCATCCAAGGTTCACAGTTTAAATTGAATTTTTTTTTTCTAACCTTTAATTAAGAAATTATAGATGTACCAACCATGGTGTTTAAATGGCCTTTAAGATAGGATCCATCCAAGATTGCACTTCGATTAGCACCACTGATGATCTGAGACGGCAGTGAGGTGTCTTGCTGACCATCAAATGCCCACACCACTTCCAATACTTGACCAGGGGTTGTTGAGTTAGCCAACACATCACATTGGAAGATGAAAGTTCTGTTGTCCAGTAGAATGGGACCACTCAAAACAGGTGGACTCTTCAGTTTGAGAAGATAAAAACAATTACGACCATAAATGTATTTTATTAAAGCATAAACAATACAACCACATCATTTTCATCGTCTCTGTCCTTTTGAACCGCTATACATTATAAAGGACTCATATGGTATACTTCCAATTCAGTTCTATCCTGTGTGATTGTTTCAAGCTCGTGGATGGAATAGAGTATAGCACTTTTCGCCTCTTTCATCAGTCTTCATCTTAGAGTTTCCACTGGATGTCCTTACCTCCTCAAACCACTTATGTATTGTACAATTGCCTGCTATATTTGGTTGTATCTGAACACATGCTTTACTATGGGCTTTTTCCATTTCATTGTTCTGTTGTGCCATTAGATGTCAAAATGGGCTCGCAGTGTATTCCGCCATATTGTTATATCAATATCCCCCCCCCCCAAAAAAAAAAATGAAAAAAGATGCATGGGCATTTACTGCGTGCTCTGCAGGCAGACAGTCCAGGAAGGCCAGTGGTGCTTTCTGTATGAATACTAGCAGCATGACAATGGAGGTGATGATGGTAACACAAGCTTTCATGTGGCTAGCATCAATCGCAGTGCTATTCTCACGTGTTTGTGCTGAGTGCTTCCATGAGCATGATCCGGCTGGTTTGTATGTAGGCAGTGGATCAAGTCCTTGCAAAACTCTACTGTGCATGGAGTTACCATCATCTTTGTCCTAGGGTATATGGGTGTTGTTGGCAATATAAGAGCTGACAGATTAGCCAGCTCCGCCTTAGATACATAGGCCGGCTGATTGATCATGCAGACATTGTTAATACCATTAGAGACGTAGGACAATCGCAGGATTTTAGGAGCAGCACATTCACATCTTTGCTAAAAGAGCAAGTATTGGGAGTAAAGATCAGCACAGCCAGGCATGAGATGCACACTGGACACATGAGAAGTCTTGTCAACCAACATAGGACTGGAACTATCAACCGCGGGACACTGATTTATATGGTGAAGGGGAAATCTGAGCACCTATGAACATGTCAGGAGTGTAATGAAGAAAACCCAAATCATAACTCATAACTCTATCAATAACATGGACAGAATCCAGTCCAGCACGCCTGGCCTCTCTCATCAGTTTCCGTTTCAAGGTTTCTGTTTGGTGTCCTCATCTCCTCAGTCCCTCTGTCTTAGATTTCAAAGCCTCTTTGGCCCCTCTCTGCTTTTTTCTTTTCAGGATGTATCCAATATAGCACCATATTCTCTGTCTAATTACTGTGGATTCTAGTGGTTGTCCAGACATTTCTCTTATTTCTTCACCACTTTTGAACTTTTGTAATTTTATTTTCTTTGTTTCCCCCAAGTGCTTACTACAGGAGACAGCTAGCGTAGTGTAGTGACTGGACGCTCAACTACAGATCGGACAGCCATGGGTTTGGTTTTTATTTTTAAAAAATAACCTTGGCTTGCAAGTCAACCCTGCCTTAAATGGTACCTGGTAAAGACATGGATACTAATGACCACATTACAAACCAAATGGCTATAAAATATAGGTCTAGCCCTATATGCCCAATACACCTGAATGAGTGGAAAAGGGTCCTTTACTTTCATTTACTAAATGGTTTACATCAACATATAGTTTATAAGTAAATTATTCTATCAACAATTATTATTTACATTTATATATTTACATATATTATCTAAATTCCCAAAAGGAAAACATTGTTTTGAATAATCAAAACACAAAAATGAGCAGACAGAAGGAAGAGACAAACAAGATATTGCACAATTTATTCCCTGACATATTTCACTTCATCTCATCAAGTGAACAATTATATAAAAGAATAATTAAATATAAAGCAAACAATGGCATCCTTTAAGGTACAAACAGGTAAAACATACACAGACACTACACTTATTTGTAACCACTTGTGTCGAAGAGTAGTCACAAACTGGATCAAAAGTACAGTACCTGCATTCCAAAGTAAGTTTCGTTACTTGCAAGAAATCCACTTTTGTCCGACTCGCGCCCTGCATAGTACGACCTGACTTGACAAGCAACCTGAAATAACATGTTGAGTTCAGTAGTAAATACAGCAACACTAAAACATTGGCTAAAATGTTTAAGTCTGATGTTGAAAAAAAAATTCTATAAAGATAGATGGGATGTGTGGAGAATGAAGAGTTAAAAGATAAGGAAGTCTACCAGCTGGAGAAGGAAGAGTAAGAGAAAATATTTGAAGAAGAAAAGTTTGAATATGAGACGTAAATATATCTTAAGACAAAAAAACAGTAGCTACAATACTCACAAAGACAGATTTCACAATGTTATTCTCACAGTTATTTGAAAAGATCACCTAAAATATGTTCAAATTTAACACTCTATACTCCTATATGCTCTTACACTTAATAGATAATCTATTGAATATTAAATAGCTAAAAGTAATTGACAAGCATAAAATATCCAATAATGTAATAGCAAACAACTTAATATATATATGACAAATATTACCCATAAAAGCTGAACAGCATATCATAGTGTAAATCTACTAGTCAAATAAAAAGATGTAGGAAAAATAATGGGATGGGAGATGGTGACCAAAAGAATAAGAAACAGATATGGTCATGACACAATAATCGACATTCAAACAATTATCTGTGTTATAAGTCGATAGTTTGTGCATACATACATTTGTATCTAGTTGATTTGTTAGCAAACTGACATCCAGAGTTGCTGTTCTTTGTGCACCGCTGAGCAGCTGAGGGAGTATGGAAGGATCTGACTGACCATTGAACGTCCAGGCAACTTCAAATCTTTGGTCGGGATCATCCTCGTCACAAACAACCTCACAGATGAAGCCAAATGAATTGTTGCCTTGTATTTCTGGTCCACTGATTAGTGGCGGTGATTCCAGCAGAGGAAAAGGGTCTACACAAGGATGAAAGATGTTGATTTCATTCACAGTTATTCTGATTGTACAGCACAATGGTTTATGTCACTGGGGGTGGGGAGAGGGAAGGGATCAGATCTCAAGAACGACTGACAACGAGAATAGTGTTGATGAAATAAGTTAAAAAAAAGATGGGTAAAATATTTAATTAACAGTTAACTGCATTTCAATTATATTAAAAGCATACTGTAGCAAAAGAAATCAAGTAAGCAGGAAGTAGACAGTAAAGTGAATATGAAGACTAAATCAAAAGATGATGAACAACAGCGTGTGAGAGTAAATAGCTAGGCACAGAGTGTCAGAGATCCATTGCAGATAACGTCAAGTGTATAGACAGTGCCCAACTGATTGATCCATCGATTAATGAATCCATCCATCCACCATATCACATACATTATCAAATCAATAAGAAAAGGTAAAGGTTGTGTAGATAGATATGTAAATATGTAGGCGGATACAAATGTGGGCAGATAAGTAGGTTCATAAGTATAATATTAAGCAGCATGTAGGTAGATATTGGACTGATATATTAGGCAGATGTTAGGTTGGTTGATGCAGCAGATAGACCACCAGTAAGTAGGCAGGTGTCAGTCTATACATAAGTATTGACATACTTTGACAGAGCTGGACTTTCCAGGATTTACTCGATTCTAATGCAATCATAACTTCACTGGGCAGGTCATATAGTCTGCATGCCTTTCATCGACTGCTAAACAGAATTTCCTATGGTGAGCTACCATAAGGAAAACACGCTCAAGGTGGACAGAAGAAACGTTTCAAGGACAGCATCAAGACCTCGCTGGAAGACTTCTGTAATAATCCTTAAACTTGGGAAGTCGCTGCATGTGACCACTCATCCTGGCGCTCCTCTCTTCATCGAGGAGCTGTGGCCCACACGAAGCTGCTAGAACTGCAGCAGCAATTCAGAAAAATACAAGCCTGAAAAGATGACTGCATTTCTAATGATGAACAAATCACCAGAGAGATGTGGCTTCTATTCCCTGTCCCCCATTGCTCAAGAACTGTCAGTGCTAGAATGGGGCCGTTTTATCAGCCATCTGTACACACATAAAAACTGACCCAGTCACCACTGGATGACAGGACTGGTCATCATCACTCGTGATGAAGGAACAACAACAATACTAATACCTACACAAGTAACTAGATAATCTGGAAGATAGAAAAGAATATTTAGAGGTATTTGTGTTACATATTTCCATTATCTTGTCTACTGTGATTTTATACCAACCTTTACAAGGAGGAAAGCTGGTATTTGACCATTTCCCAACTGGACAAGGGGGCACATTTCCTGGAATAGGTGAATAAAAAAAACAATCAGCTAGTAGTAAGTAGGTTGATACAAACAAGATATTTTCAAGTACTGTATTTAAAAAGAAAGAAGAAAGAAAGAAAGAAAGAAAGTACAAGAAAGAAAGAGAAAAGAAAGAAAGAATTCAAAGAAAGTAAAATCAAAGAAAGAAAGAAAGAAAGAAAGTACAAAACAAAGAAAGAAACCTGACAGAAAGAAAGAAAGAAAGAAAGAAAGAAAGAAAGAAAAAGAAAGAAAGAAAGAAAGTCCCAGAAAGAAGAAAAGAAAAAAGAAAGAAAGAAGAAAGAAAGAAAGAAAGAAAGAAAGAAAGAAAGAAAGAAAGAAAGTATATACAAGCATAAAACGAGAAAAGATTGACGACTGACAAATAAAAGAAAATAGCACTGTTGGTAGTAACATGTTCAAGCTATTTGTTTGACTGACTGACTTTCTACCCCACTAGGACATCACACAAGCGATAAACACCCGATGGCACAAAGTTCCACCATGTGGGTGAGGATCACCGTGGAGAGGTCCCAGAAACCGCGTTCAGACAATTGGCCATATTGATGGCCTGCCTATATTGCGGCCCCTGACAAAAGCCAGAGTGGGGCTTCAAATAACAAAAAATTACGTCCTAAAAAGGACGTAAGGAATAGCGGATTTTTAAGGCAAACTATTTTTTTTTTAAAAGCAACTCACCTGCACAGTAAGCCATGTCACAGTCTATTGTAGGGTACAAGTAATACACGAAGAAGCTGCCGCAGTTTTTTATGAAAATGTCCTCAGAATATTCACAGCAGTATTTCTCTAGTGGGTTGCTGCTGTTCATATTGACACAGATGGGCCGCATGACGATGCCGTCTGTAAAAGACAAGACCATTTATTAAAATAGGCAAACTAAACATAAAATTAAGGCAAGTAACTAGATTGAAATAACAGGTATTGAATGCTGGATTATAATCCTTGTTGAAGTTTGCTTACCATTTATTCCTCACGTCCTTTTTAGGGCGTAATTTTTTGTTATTTGAAGCCCCACTCTGGCTTTTGCCAGGGGCCGCAATATAGGCAGGCCATCAATATGGCCAACTGTCTGAACGCGGTTTCTGGGACCTCTCCACGGTGATCCTCATCCACATGGTGGCACTTTGTGTCATCGGGTGTTTATCACTTGTGTGATGTCCTGGTGGGGTAGAAAGTCAGTCAGTCAATACGAGAGGACCGACTTTGTTGCTCATCCTCAGCTTGTGGGAAGCAATTTTTCGTTATTTTGAAGCAACCCCCTGGATCTTGCTAAGGGCCCTAATATAACCCAACCTATGGGTTAAAAAGGGTTTCTGGGACCTGTTTTAAGGGTGATCCTCATCCGCATGGTGTTAATCTCTTGATGTGATGCCCTGGTGAGGTAAAACATCAAGCAATCATCAGTCTGTACCAACATCATTGTACTGAGGTTTACCTCATATGGAACTCTTCGCACAACGGCCAGTCGACTACCGAGAGCCTTGCACGGAGCAAGAACGCCGTAGCTCCAGGAACGATCACCAGGGATCTCCGTAAAAACTGCTCTCGTGAATAAACGGCGCAGGCCACGACCTTCAGAGCCCGAGGTAAACGGTTTGACCACTTCACCACAGAGACTGCTAATAATACTATGAGGTTTAAGTTTGGCAGGGCAGTAGGTCAGTCTATTCAATGTCCATGCCTGTGCACCTTTTGTGAAGCCACTGGAACAAAAATAGGTTCATATTTGCCACGTAGGAAATACCTTCTAAAATAAAGTCGCCCCGGTGTGATGTAGACCAACATCATTCAACTGTTGTTTCGGTTTTGCCTGTTTTCTTTTAATTGTTAATGTTTACGTGAGGCACTGGTAACTTCTACTTCTGCTTATCTCTGGACCTGGAATGCCATGCGATCTTAGGACAGGAACGCAATAAACAGACAATGTATTGTAATTAACAAACAGTTTCTACTGTGTTTGTAATCATCGTTGCTGTTTTTTTTTTTTTTACTAGACTACTTACTACAGAAGCTTACCTTCAAAGCTGGGGTTTGGCCCAACGATCCAGATGGGTTTGGTAGTGCCGCACCTGTTCGTCTCTTGACAGGTCGTTGGCATATCTCCGCCAGCCAGACTGGTGAATCTGTACCAGCCGCGCCGAAGACGGATATCGCAGAGCGGATCTATCGGGGGCGCATGCAGGAACCCTGTTTGTGTTACATGTTCAAGTTAGTGGAAACGTCATTGACTTCTTCTGTACACGCAAGAAAAACATACACTCCAACAAAATAGACAGGGGTGTGTTGGGAGCTTGAGATGAGTGTCATCGCTGTCAGAACAGGAAATCTATTGACACTCTTAATGATATTGTCAGGGCTAAACAAAAAGTACCAAACACTATACAACATAAAATGTGATTTAAAAGCTTACAGGAGGGATGAAAACGACGCGCATAAGTACCACCGTTTTCTTGGTTTCGTGTTGACCTTGTCTGTTTACTAACTGTATTATCTTGTCTACTGAGTCTTTAAGTCACCTGGTGTCTTCCACTAACTAAAGTTATTTGCGTATCCTTTACAGGAAGTTGCAGAACCAACTCAAACATTTTTTAGGTTGTGGTTTTTATAAAAAACAATAAAAATTAAAAGGAGGATGGCCATAGCAATGAAAAGATTAATCAGCCTCAAAAGTCTTTGGTTAAGCACCAGCAAGGAGATGCAAATTAGAATTTTGAGAGCATGCATCTTCCTTGTGGCTACATACGGATGTGAATCGTGGACTATCTCACAGTAGTTAAGAAAGAGAAGAGGGGCTTTTGAGCTGAGATGCTATAGAAAGATTCTCAGAATATCTTGGACAAAGAAGAGGAAAAATACTGACATCTCAAAAGATCTAAACATCAAGGAAGATTGGCTAATAAACAGCATATTTTCTCGGAAGCTGAAATATTTTGGTCATATCAAGGACCATGACTGATTGGAAAATAATTATAGCAGAAGGCATGGTACCAGGAAGGAGGGGCAGGGGTCGACCGACACGAAAATGGGCACAGGATATAAGTGACTCCATGAGTATGAAAGTACATGAGGCGGAAGAGCTTGCGAGAGACCGGGTTTCTTTCAGGCAGACCGTGGTGAGAGCGACGTTCTGCAGAAGACCTGCTACATGATGATGATGGTTTTTAAAAGCAAATTGTACGTTCAGTTGTTTGCCCCTGCTCTTCAGACGGTCAATACTTAAGCCACAGAAGTTGTACTTAGTACTCTGTTGATAAACACCTTTGTCGAAACGTTTGGTCATATTTGTAAGTGTCTTTTATCATCTTGTCTGTAAAGGATTTGATTGAACATGAGAGGATCAAATGGTTTAGTCATCTGGTCAGACTTGATCCAAGTCAGTCAGTAGCTAGACCATACTATATGATATCAGCCGGCTACAAGTCAAGAGACAAAGAAAGAGATAGTGGAGGGAATAAAATAGACACTACAAAAACACAGTATAATATCAACTCAGGCTCAGCAACTAAAAAAAGACAAGAAACTATATCTAACTCCTCTCTGTGACACTATTAAACCTGAAACAGTAGGCTGAGGAAAAAGAAGAAAAAAATGCATAGCTTTACGCATTAGCTGTAAGACAAAAGAAATTAAGGAAGACAAAT